AAAATCGTATTCTCCAAGAATGTATTCGTTTATCAAATGTTCCATTATTATCATCAATAGTAAAATCATATAAAAATGTCAAACCATTGAAAGATTATACAATATTAAATATTCAACATGAATTAGGTGATGTAAGTGCACAAGTAGAAGCTTTGATAGTTCTTGGTGCATTACCAAATAATTTTTACTTTCTTCCTCCATCTTATTCACATAATAAACAATTTCAATTATTTTTAATAAAACATTTTCGAATTCCAAAAGAAAAATTTTTGAATTACCATCCTATCGTTTATTAAATGTTATATTTAATTTAAATCAAATGATTCAAATGGAATTATTAAAAAAACAAGAAAAACCTAATAATCTTCTTGTATTAGATGATGGAGGTTGTTTTTCTGAAGCCTTAACAATTTTATTTGCTATTAATGATGATTTAATCGAAGCAAATGAATTATTTGATAATCTTCCATTATCCTTAAAAATTTGTAAATTTGATATAAAATTAATTTTATCATATTTAGATTCAATTGAAATTCGTCTTGTTGAACAAACATCACGTGGGTTATTTAAATATATTGATCAACCAAAAATCTCCATTGCATTAAAAAAAAACTTGGAATATCAATGATTGATGTTGCTTCTAGTCAACCAAAAAAACATTTCGAAGCTTCAATTATTGCTGAAGCATGTCTTAATATGTTATCTTATTTATTTTATGATGCAAAATCTCATTTAACAATTCGTAAACCATCGAAATTTGATAAATGTTTATTACTTGGATATGGAGCTATTGGACAAGCTGTTGCTTATGCATTAATACATAAGGGAGATTTAGGATTATTTTTAAAAGATTCTGTTTATATATGGGATACAGATTTGATTAAAAGAAAATTAGCTGAGAAAGATGGATTTCAAATATTTAATCAATTGAATAATAAAGATGAATTTAATTATATAATTGGTTGTGCTGGTCGTTGTTCATTACCAATATCATCTTTATCTTTATTATGTAATAATTCTTATTTAATTAGTGTTTCATCTGCAGCTATTGAATTTCCATTTCATGATATGATTCAATATGCTTTATCTAAGACTTCAAATAAAAATTTAGAAATTTGTTTACCGAATGATGAATTAAATCATTTAGATGATGAAAATATTCATCGAAATATTTGCTAAAATAAAAAAACCTTGTTATTTTATTTGGAAAGAAAATTTTAGGTTCCAAGTGCATTTGTTTTTAATTAATGAAAATAAATTTTCTTTCTATATTAAGTGTAAAGGTTTCTAATTCTCCAAAACCTAATTCTTTATTTTCTGCCAAATGAACAAATCGAAAAATCCGATGAAATTCTCCATGAAAAATGACATTGATGTTTTTTTCTAACAATTTCAAAAAAAAAATCATTTAAATGAAGAAGAATATTTTCTCAAGTATTTTATTTAGATTTTCCATGAAAGATACATGATTTTCTACATAGATTATAATGATAAAATAAAGATTATTTCGTCACATTTGTGACGAATACTATGATGTGCTCAAGTATTTTTAGAAAACATCATATTACAAAGAATTTTTGACAAAAAAAAACCATTAAAGCCAAATATTTAGTTGATTATATCTAGGAAATATAATTTGAATATTGTTACAATCAAATACTTGACCATGACCAGCTGCGATCAGTTTGTCATTAAATATGGTTTTTATTTGATGTTTAATTGGATAAATGCCATCTTTATTTATTACTAAATGTACCAATTGATCAAATCGACGAATAATATTCAAAGTAAATTCAATGAGATAATCATCAAACATGATAATTGCTCGACTTGTCTCGAGTACACATAGTTGAGGTGCTAATTGAGTTAATCGATCAATATGAAAATGTTGTTTAGGTTGAGGATATAATCGATCTAATACAAGATGAACATGTCTTAGATTTGAATAGCTTCGTGAACAATGACGAAAATCGTTCCATTCCACTACAAGATGAGAAAGATTCCTTGATACATCTAGGACTTGTTTGACTATGGCGACACGTTGAAATTTTTCAATTGATTCGGATTTTATATCAAATTTTATCGATCGTAGATGATCAAGCCAAAACTTGCAGTCGGAATGGAAAGTTGATTTTATTGTCGATATATATGGCTAGAAAGCGTACATTTTAATTTATAATAAAATCAAATTTTTAGCAAAGTATACAGTGTGTTCTAAAAGTCCCTTCCCAACAATTTTCTCGAATATCTTTCCTATTTCATTTAACTTTATAATTTGTAAAAGTATCACTTTTGACCGAAATACAAAAATTTTCATTACTTTGGGTTTCCAGAAAAACATTATGGATCGATTTTTTTCTTCAGTTATTTCGACGTTTCTCAAGTATTTTTCTGTGAATTTCGCATCAAAGAAAAGTTTGTAGAACTCGACATGCTCTATCCGCCCATATGAAAATATCAAAAAGAAAAAAACTTAGTTGATTTTTCCAATTCCTAATATTCCACAACAGAAGCTAAATTTTTGTATTTCAATCAAAAGTGATACTTTTACAAATTAGTATGAAAGGTGACTCTGATAAAATCAAACTTTATATCTTCACCTTTAATTTAACAAAAAAATTTGTCGATAAAGTTAAATGAAATAGCAAAGATATACGAGAAAACGTTTGGGATATACTGTAGTACAGATGGAGTATCGTGTGGAATCAATTCTATTATATACTAAAAATGAATCTGTAGCTTTAGAATTCTATTTTCTTTCTTCCTATTTATTGTCTATACATTCTAATGATGTTCTACAAAGATCTTCGATTATAAAAACAAAATCGAAATTAAACATAGCTCTCCAATCTTATGTGATGATCGTACACTTTTGTAAATCATCGTCCCAATCAAAACATTCGATATCTTGAAACAGAACAGAATACATTTTGACTTCTATTCTCAATGATATTTTAATTAAACATTCTGTGTAAGTAAACATTTGATATCCACTCAAACTGTGTTGATATTTGAATACAAAGAATTATTAATTGATTTCCTTCGAATGACTTACTTGTTCATCGAAATAGATTAAATGAAGTTCATTGACACGACCACTTGCAAGTACTCGTAGAATTTCACTTATTTGATTAGATTCATATTTTTGATCGGTGGACCATTGGATCAATCGTCTTCGAGTTGTAAAGATAGGTTTAGATACATTTGTCACTAAACGATGATTGTGGAAAGTTCGTCTGTGACGAATGAGAAAGTCTATTGGATGATTGTAAATAATAAAAATGTTCTGTGTAATACAAGTGTATTTAGCTTTGACATAAGTATAACTCTCATCCATATAACTATCCACATTGTCAAAAGGCCATTTATCCTTCCAATTGAATGAACTCATTCGCCATGCAACTTCGATTTGTTGAGGAAAGCAAAATGAAAAGTGAAGATTTTTCAGAGTAGGTAAACGTTTAGAACTACAAAGTTCTTGAAATTTCCCAAGATGATCTAATGCTACAAGAAAGAATAACAGATTGTATTATACATTCAACTTCGTTCGCATTAATGAACAAAGAATACTAACAATATTGAAAACTATTTGCGGAGAAGAAGCAGTCCTTTCAAAGAAGTCTACTCTCATTATCTCGTCATAGAAAAACATTTCGACATTTAAGAATGTTCTCTCGTTAACCAATGATATCAAACGAAACTGAATGATTGATGGAATAATTACTTACTATGATCATACATATCAACAAGTATCAAAGTTTCAAGCACAGGCATCGATAACGAATCAATTGATGTAATAACATCAGTAAGATTTATATAACGTAAGAGTAAATATCTCAGACGAATACCATCAATTCGTTCACGTCGTAGATGTACATCATTTGATTGAATATTTCGTATTGATTTCTCATTACTTGTTGGTAAAACAATATGTAAATCTTCATTAGTAACTTCCAGATGTTCAATTGAAGGCAAACTATTATGTTGCAACAAAAGTTCAAGTTCACTTGCATGTTGAATACTTAATGTTAGTTTAACTGTATTTGGCCAACAAAGTGGTTGCATATTGTGTAGACCCTTTATAAAATCGTTTAGATTATATTTATGACCTATCAATAAAAAACAATGATCATACTAACAAAACAGTCACACTAATAACTTTAATTTAACTATATGCTAGATTATATGATATTGAGTGTATCTTACATGATCACAATATAAAAATAAAAAAGATAATCATAGAGAAAACATCTAGAGATCTTTATGAGTGATCACACAATCTCTTCTATGTTAATTTACTAGTAGTTATGAAACAGGATATAATGTGTTACGAGACAACTGAATTTACAGCTATCTACAATCGTATACAGTAAAACTTCTCTAAGGTGGACAGCTCTTATAGAATATTTTAAAGATGTTCATTATAAAAAAAGATTTTATCTCATCTCATCAGATGAGTTACTTGGATGTTTAGGATCAGTGGAATATTTATTGGCTCTGTTCAATCTTATCACTGAATGACTTTACTAAGTGACGACGGAATCGTCGTAATCTCTGTAATGAAAGATATTAGTGATATAGATTTTAACAAATTCTATTGATTCAATAATTTTGTTCTTAATAAACTATAATAGAACCATTTTGATTATCTTTTCTTTTTCTTAGGGTGAAAACACAATAGTGCCTTCGTATTTCTCGCCGAGTGAACCTAGCAGATATTTCATTCTGTCCATGATTTCTCGCATTAAATTGACAAAACAAATACTAATATGTATGTTCAAAAATAAGTAAGAATAATTTCAACTGTCATCTAACTCCCTAATTCACTACAAATGAGATACATAGTACTTTAGTTTCTTATCTATCTTTAGAAATATCATTGGAAATAATCCTATTCATA